TATACACTTTATTTCACAAACTTCCTCTCCAAATAGTTTCATTTTCTAAAAGTAATATTGAAATAGTGCTCTAAAATCCAGGATCTTCCAGAACAAATGATTTTAATAAAAAAAGGAGTAACAAGAGAGGGCCCTTCTTTATAAACTTCATCTGTATTTCCTTAAGAAAACAGCCAAGGTTTTCACTTCACAGAAAGAGATTTGCATTCTCCAATTATCTTCAACTTGAAGGTTACAGAGTAAACTAAGAGTGGGGGAGGGGGACATTTTACCAAAACAGCTGTAAACACAAACTAATCAAAGCAGTCTTGGGGGCCTAAAATTTGGTTGTCCTTCTTGCCTTACACAATCAACTGCCTCTCAGCAGGGTAGGATCCTACCCTATTGCAATAATTTACATAAGAAATTAGCAACCAAAATTTACATCTGAATGGTACCCCACCCCACCCCCAGCAGCACATCAGGTGTTAAGTATCTGCTTATCTAAATTGCCTCTAAAAATAGCTTTACCTTCCTTTAAGCCTTAGGTAAATAGAGGAGTTCCCATCAATCTGTAGTGGTATGCTGAATCAAGTCCAGGTATTAAATTGCTCTATTTCACTGCCATTCTTAAGGCAAATTTCAGGGCTGTTCTTTCTCTGAGTGAGAAGACTCTTAGAATCATCTTAGAATGAGCCAAAATGGAAAGAACTACGGACAAACTGTAAACTATCAAATTACCAACTGTACTTTTTGTTTTAAATGCTCATCCCCAGGTCAATTAAAGTGGGATGAGGTATTAAAAAAAAAAATGTAGATATATAATTAATTATAAGAAACTAAAGTAGCTAACGAAGGAATCTAAGCATAGAACTAGCGCTTTTCAGGTAATTTTGGGATTTGAATCTTTTGTTTGCGTTGTTGAAAGAACCAAGTTTCTTTCATCTTTAAAATAATTATTATGCTTTCCTTATACTTCACAGAGGGAGCTCTGGTGGCATAGTGCCTAAGCATTTGACTGCTAGCCAGAAGGCTGGCAGTTCAAACCCACCAGCCACTCCTTGGAATGAAGATTGGCAATCTACTTCCTTAGTGATACTGCCTTGGAAACCCAAAGAGGGGTCCCTATGAGTTGGATCTGACTGCACGGCAGTGAGTTTTTTTTTTTTTTTTTTTTTTTTTAGTTATACTTTACAGAATCTCTACAGGGTAAGAATAGTATTCTGATGTTTTAAAATGTAAGAACTATTTGCTATCTGCTATATCACTGAAATTATATCTTGGTGGATACTAAACAGCTTTTTATACCTGGTTATAAATAATACCAGTGCCAGATACTCTAAAAGGCAAACAAAATATACCTAGAGTGCAGGAAAAGTAGGGGAACTTCTCTCTCCAAATTTTGGTAAAAAATTCGTATTTCAAAATTAGCCTCTAGAGTTTTTACTCTGGTTCTATTTAATTCTCAGATATAACAATACATCACAATGAGAAGACTGGGCACTCTACCTCCACAGAGATACCGCCTCGGAAACCCAAGAGGAGGTCACTATGAGTCGGAACCAACTCAACAGCAGTGAGAGTGACTTAAACTTTTAGTTTTACTTGATAAATATGAGTTGACAGATCAACTAAACAACAGACATGAAAATGGATATAAACCAGGTAAGAGAAAAATAAGCCAGTCACCTCCCACATATGTTAAGTCTAGACATATATATACATACATATGTTAAGTCTAGACCAAAAAAACCAATCATATCTGGAAGCAAATTCATAAGCAATGATGTGTAAGAGACAGGCCCAACTCAAAGACCAGACATACTAATTGCTAGAGACCACTCATTTAAATTTTGCCACTACTAGATTTTATTGAACCTGGTATAAGTTAAAGATGAAAGAGAAAATAATGCTACAAAAGAGTATAAACTTATCTAGTTTTGCAACTTTGAATCTCTAATTTATCCCAAATTACTGTACTTCAATTTTTATCAGGAGGATGTCTTGAGATTTTATACTCCCTCTTGCAATCACTCCCAGATTTTCATACACTGGAATCATCCCAGGTCTAAGACAGTCTAGGTATAAAAGTACCACTATGGCTAACTGGATAAAAAACTCAAAACTCACTGCCATTGAGTCAATTCGGACTCATAGCAACCTCCATTGGGTTTCCAAGTCAGTAAATCTTTACAGAAGTAGATTGCCTGGTCTTTCTTCTACGGAGTGGTTGGGAGGTTTGAACCTCCCACATTCTGGTTAGTAGTCAAATGCCTTAGGCACTGTGCTACCAGAGCTCCTTAATCTGGATAAAGTAGAACCCATATACTAATTAGGCTGTGATGGTCAGATAATATTACTGTATACCACTAAATAAAAAGAAGGGGGTATAACTTAAATTGTGATATAACCAAACCCATAAAATACTGAAAACGCTTTATACTAGAGTTTTCTCACAAAAAATGTGGTCCAAGACTGGGTGGAAAAAGCAGTTGATATCAGTAAATAAAATGGGATTGTTAAAATATTTATTATTACTCCAAAGGTAATAATAAACCGAATGAGTTTGGTGGTAGGGTTGAAAATAGTAGAAAGGGGGAACATGAAAAAAGCTCCTAAAATATTTGTATTCTTGCAGGAAGTAGATGGAGCAATAGAAGAGCCCTGGACTGAGTCTAGGCTTGCCTTTGCTACATGCCCTATCAGGGAAGTCATTCAACTGCTATGAATCTCTCTTCACATATAAGATGGGGGTGGTAATTCATGCTATGTCTTTCTTATGGACATAAGCAGGGAAATAATGTGAATGAGGGCATAATCACTCCTGATTCCTTTCCATAATTCTTAGTTTCCAGCCCTTAGCACTACATGAAATGATTAGAAACTAGCCAGACAACACAAGAAAGATGAAAAGAAAACAAAACTGAAACCCACCATCTGTAGTGCAAGACCCCTCTGGGGCAGGTTTTTGTGAATAAGGAATTGGTGGACTATTTGATTCAGACATTTCTTCATCATCTTCATCATCTTCCATTTCATTAGTGGTCAGATTGTTAGAAAAATCCAGACTTCCATTTTGAGTGTAGCGGTGTACCAAATCTTTATCCAGTTCCTCCACCTTAGGTTTTATATCTGGGTAAGCAAATAAATCATAAAAAATTTAATAAAAGAATGCTTATAGAAAAATAATCAAAAGAAAATTTCATAGTTCTTAAAGACATATCTGAGGAAAGGGAGACTAGTGTTTTCCAACATATATTTCAGAAATCCCCAGATTTCTGGAGTCCCCACTTCTTTAAAAGTCTAGAAATGCATGTGATAGAGAGACTTACCTGCAGATGAGAAAGGATGCTGGTCAGGATCCAAGTATAGCTGGGAAAAAATTGGGCGTGGTACCACACTACTACATCTGAGTGAGGCTTCTATGGAGTTGTGGAGAGCTTCCTCAAATCGAGCAGATTTCAGTTGTCCAGCATATGAATTCCCCATGGTCTATACCACCCACAGATACCAAAGAAAACAAGGAAAAAAGAAAATGGATATAATTAAAGGTTTATCTCTGTAAAATAAATATACAGCTAAAATGAACTATATCCATGTATCTTAAGATATATATGAACTACACGAACTACACCCATTTGTCTTGTTAAGAGAACTTGTATACATTGTCTATTATGATACCACTTTTGCTTTTTGTCTTTATAGTCCAAACCATTTCAAAAGCCCCCTTAAAGGATCTTGCATCTGAGAATCTAACAGTAATAAACACCTTAAATCAAGGCACTCCAACCCATAAGTCAAGATTGACCTGTCAATTATGAAGCCCAACCTGGTTCCTGAGACTATACCTCCTCCTTAAACTCCCAAGTACCATGATCCCACACCAACTATCTCAGTGGTTACAGAGTAAATAACTACTTATATTTCTTTCTCTACTAAGATCTTATTATTATACAGGGGAGGAAAAAAAAAAAGATTCTCTTCCAGGAAAAGAAAAAAAAGGGGGGGCACTTTATGATAATGTACTCAATTCATAAATTCCTGAAAGCAAGATTTCAGCCTTTCAAACTCAAAGAACACATAAACATACTTGTTGTTGTTGTTGTTATGTGCCGTCGAGTCGGCCCCGACTCATAGCGACCCCTCCTTGGGTTTCCGAGGCAGTATCACTACGGAAGTAGATTGCCCAACCTTCCTTCCGAGGAGTGGCTGGTGGGTTTGAACCGCCAGCCTTCTGGTTAGCAGTCAAGTGCCTTAGCCACTATGCTACCAGAGCTCCTCATAAACATACTACTAGTATTTATTTGACAAATACTGTTATTTCTTTTACCCCTTCTGAAGCACATTATTTGGGACTCTTTGGGAAAGTATATTGTCTTCAAGGCATACCTTTTACTTCTTCTAACACTTTGTATAGCACTTGTTAGTTACAAAAATTTCTGTGTATATCAATAATAACTACAGTTCATTGAGTGGTAACTTTTGACTAGATCAATGATTCTCAAAGAATGAACTGGGGTCCCTTTTAGGGAGTCCATGGGGTAAAAATAATTTCAAAATATTATTAGATATGACTCAAGGCACTTCCTCAAAAAGCTGGAAATAGAAATATCATATGATCCAGTAATCCCACTACTAGGTATATATCCTAGAGAAATAAAAGCCATGACACCAAAGGATATATGCATACCTAGGTTCATCACAGCATTATACCCAATAGCAAAAGGATGGAAAATCTAAGAGTCCATCAAGAAATGAATGGGTATACTACAGTGCATACACACAATGGAATAACATTCAATGTTAAAGAATAACGATGAATCTGTGAAACACCTCATAACATGAACAAAGCTAGAGGACATTAAGCTGAGTGAAATTGGTCAATCAGAAAAGAACATATATTAATATGACACCACTACTGTAAAAAGTCAAGAAAAGGACTACACACAGAAAGAACCGTTCTTTGAAGGTTACCAGGGATCGGAAAGGAAAGGAGGGGAAATCACTAACTAGCGAATAGAGACGTGTATTAACTTGGGTGAAGGAAAAGGCAATATACAATAAGGGGGAGGGCAGCACAAAATGAGCAAGGCAGAAGAAGATGCAGGGAGGTACACAAAAGTTAAATGCAACAAAGATAAACACTATCACATACCCAATCTTGCAATAATAGTATTAATAATAATCTGATGGGGCACAGTTCAAAATGGGAAGAAAATGGAAACAAACATCCTTTAATAATCAGAACACAGAATGAACAAAATACGAATCTAGGAAAACTGGAAGTTGTCAAAAAGAAAATGAAACACCTAAAGATCAATACCCAAGGCATTAGTGAGCTGAAATGGACTGGTACTGGCCATTTTGAATCAGACAATCATATGATCTACTATGTCGGGAATGACAAACTGAAGAGGAATGACAACACATGCATTGTCAAAAAGAATGTGTCAAGATCTATGCTGCAGTACAATGCTGTCGGTGATAGCACAATATTCATATACCTACAAGGAAGACCAGTGAATACTACTATCATTCAAATTTACGCACCAACAACTAAAGCCAAGGATGAAGAAACTGAAGATTTTTATCAACTTCCACAGTCTAAAATTGACCAAACATGCAATCAAGATGTATTGATTATAACTGGTGATTGGAATGCAAAAGCTGGAAACAAAGAGAATCATCAGTAATTGGAAAATACAGCCTTGTTGATAGAAATAATGCCAGAGATTGCATGACAGAATTTTGCAAGACCAATGACCTATTCACTGCAAATACCTTTTTGCAATACATCAACAGCAGCTATACATGTGTACTTTGCCAGAAGGAACACACAGGAATCAGATTGCCAGCATCTGTGGCAAGAGGGAATGGAGAAGCTCAGTATCTTCCACCAAAACAAGGCTAGGAGCTGACTGTAGAACAGACCAACCTGAAGCTGAAGAAAACGAAAACAAATCCATGAGAGTGAAAATGCAACCCTGATTATAACCCACCTGAATTTAGAAGCCATCTAAAGAATAGATTGGATGAACTGAACACCAATGACTGAAGATAAGCTGAGTTGTGGGATGACATCAAACACATTATACATGAAGAAAGCCAACACTCATTAAAAAGAAAGGAAAGGAAGAAAAGACCAAAATGGATGTCACAAGAGCCTCTGAAACTTGCTCTTTTATGGACAGGAGCTAAAGTGAATGGAAGAAATGAACAGAAGATTTGAAAGGGCAGCTCAGGAAGACAAAGTATTATAGGGAAATGTGCAAAGACCTGGAGCTAGAAAACCAAAAGGCAAGAATACACTCAGCATTTCTCAAGCTGAAAGAAATGAAGGAAAAATTCAAGTCTCAAACTACAATATTAAAAATTCAAGCCTCAAACTGTGGGCAAAATATTCAGCGATGCAGGAAGCATCAAAACAAGATGGAAGGAATATACAGAGTCACTGTACAAAACAGAATTGGTCCATGTGCAACAATTTCAGGAGGTAGCATATGATTAAGAATCAATGATACTGAAGGAAGAAGCTGACACTGCATTGAAGGAGTTGGCAAAAAAGAAGACTTCAGGAATTGAAAGAATACCCACTGAGATGTTTCAAAAAACAGATGCAGCGCTGGAGGCGCTTACTCATGTATACCAAGAAACTTGGAAGACAGCTACCTGGCCAGCTGACTGGAAGAGATCTATATTTGTGCATATTCCAAAGAAAGGTGATCCAAGAGAATGTGGAAATTATCAAGCAATATCATTAATATCACATCCAAGTAAAATTTTGCTGAAGATAATTCAAAAAGAGTTCCAGCAGTATACTGACAGTGAAATTCCAGGAATTGCAGCTAGATTCAGAAGAGGACATGGAATGAGGGATATCATTGCTGATGTCAGATGGGTTCTTGGCTGAAAGCAAAGAAGACCAGAAAGATGTCTACTTGTGTTTTATTGACTATACAAAGGCAAGTGACTGTGTGGATAATAACAAATTATGGGTAACATTATGAAAAATGGGAATTCCAGAACACTTAGTCGTGTTCATGAGGAACCTGTACATAGATCAAGAGGCTGTTGTTCAAACAGAACAAGGGGACACGACATGGTTTAAAATCAGGAAGAGTGTGCATCAGGGCTGTATCCTTTCACCATTCTTATTTAATGTGTATGCTGAGCAACTAATCCAAGAAGGGAGATTATAGCTAACAAGAAGGCTGGCAGTTCAAACCCACCAACCACTGCTCAGAAGGAAGACTGGGCAATCTACTTCCATAGAGATACTGCCTGGGAAACCCAAGGAGGGGTCTCTATGAGTGAAAATTGACTCAACAGCAGTGAGTGATGGCATCAGGATTGGAGGAAGACTCATTAAAACCTGTGATATACAGATGATATACTTTTGCTTGCTGGAAGTGAAGATGACTTGAAGTACTTACTGAAGAAGATCAAAGACTACAGTCTTCAGTATGGATTCCACCTCAACATAAATAAAACAAAAATCCTCACAACTGGACCAATAAGCAGTATCATGAGAAATGGAAAAGGCTGAAGTTGTCAAAGATTTTATATTACTTGGTTCCAAATCAACACCAATGAAAGCAGCAGTCAAGAAATTAGATAACGTATTGGACTGGGCAAATCTGCTGCAAAACACCTCTTTGAAGTGTAGAAGAGCAATAAGAATAAAGGCTAAAAAAAATAAAAAAAAAAAAAAAACAGTTTCCATCAAGCTGATTCCAACTCATGGCAACCCCATGTGTGTCCACAAAAAAAAAAAAAAAAA